GACGACCCTGACCTCCTTCTCATTGTTGGTGGGTCATCATGTAATGCACCAAGAGGTATGGGAGGCTCGTCACCTTCAACTTGTGGTCTGCGAGATTGCTCATCTGTTTGCTTCGTTGTCAACTCATCCAACTTGTCCCACAACTCATTAAATTTCTTCTCTTGGTTCTGTGCACAGAGCCTCTTAAAGAGCTCCATAAGATGCTTGTTCTTGAATTGCTTGTAGAAATTTGCACCCATGTGACGCATGCACCACCGACTCCGAACATCAGGCCACTTAGCTGGAAGTCCCTTCTCATCCCAACCGTTCTGCAAGTAGTCAATAGCCCGCAACATACCCGCATGACGATCATGTATAAGGCAAACGTTGGGCCTCATACGCACCACTGCAATGTGCACTCTCTCTAGGAACCAGTACCAGCTTTCAGTGTTCTCACTCTCTACAAATGCAAAAGCCATAGGTAGAACCTGGTTGTTCCCATCACACCCAATTGCTGTCAATATCTGACCTCGGTATTTACCTGTCATAAAAGTTCCATCTATGCATAGAACAGGTCGACAATGCACAAAAGCATTGATGCAAGCACCCAATGAGAAAAAGGCTCTTTGCAGCACACTCTTTGTTCGATCATCAACCGATGTAAATGTATGTAGGTCATAGTACGTATTATTATTCCTCTGGGCAATGGTGGCTAACAAACGAGGCAAATTATCATAAGAAGCTTCAAATGTGCCGTACCTCATCTCAATAATTTTTTCTTTGGCTCTCCAGGCCTTTGCATAGCTTATGGTGTACTTGAATTTGTTCTCGATGTGCCTAATAATTGATTTTGGTTCAAAGCCAATGTTACCAACAACACTGCTGTACATCTCACTTGCCACAAAAGCTGAAGTGATGTTTCGGTGATACTTCTCCACCCCTTGTAAGTAGCACTTGTGCTCGGTCACAATGCTAACTTTCCAATAATCATTCCATTTACCCTTATATGCATGGACACGCCACGGACAATCTTCCTTCATGCACCTCACTTCATACACATAATTTGTTGACTTGACCACCCTAAACTCTCTCTGCAAGGAAACTGCCCAATGCTTCACCGCCTCCTTCATCTCATCCTTATGAGCATACCTTGCACCCTCAATTACCTCGTTCTCCTTATACTCCCAGGGTACATGATCACCCTCTGATATAACAAGTCCAGAGAAGTCCTCATTTGCCCAATCAGTGGCCATTACATCACCTTCCTCATCGGATGATGCGTCGTCGTCCGCTTCCTCATTATCCGAATCTTCCCTCTCCATTTCATCAACAATTATACTGACTCTCTCCCCCTCATCCGCCATGCCCATGGCCTGCTCCTCCTTTGGTTGATTTTCCTCATTTTGCATCGATGGTCCAACAACATCCCCTGCATTGATAGGACCCTCTACATCTTCGGTTTGCATTGAAACATATATATCTTTCTCTTGTACCGACACAAATATAACGAGGGGCCATGACCGTTCAAAAGCCATTTGCACATACCGTCTCCAAGCAGCAGTGCTGTCCATCGGCATTAGTTCCCAAAAATAACCTTCTGTTGCACGACTCACTACAACTGATACTGACATTGTGTAGACTTCTTGGTCTATTCTAAATCCTCTCAACAACCAACTATAAATTGACTGAAATGTTCTCTCCGCAGGGCTATCGATGCCCTTAGATGTCATTACAAAATCTGACAGATCAACACCATCTGGACCAAATCTAATATTTCCTTCACCGTGAACTATCTGAAATGTGACCTTACTTGACATTGTGCCTGATGAAAACAATAACTGCGTTAACCTCGCATTTCTGTACTACGCCCTAAGTTACATTCTCTACAATATTGTTCTCTAAATTTCTAAAAGTACGTTACATTCTCCAGATCAAACTAAACTACATCTTACAATTAACACTACTGTCTATGTCTCAATTCATACTATTATATTCTATGCTCTGGATCTACACATATGTGCTGTGTGCTACAGATGTGCTAAAATATATGGAACTAAAACTAAAACGCAACATATATACTCAAACATAACATATTAGTACAAATGCAAAAGATGTATGGGAGCATACCTGTGATGAAGTGAGCGAACCAGCAGGGCTTCGCCGCTTCCCTTCTGCTGCCCTCCCCTCTCTCTTTCGTTTTTTTTTGGATTTTTAGTGAATATAATGAAATTTCACAGAGGAGGGGCTGGGCTTTATAGGGGGGGGGGGAAAAATCGCCCTCCCCCAGGGCGGCAAGGGGGCCGCTTGCAAAATTCCATGTCCCCTCGCCGCCCATTTGCAGGCGGCCCCCCGCACAGTACAAAATCGCCCTAGCGAAGGGCGGCAAGGGGGCCGCCTGCAAAATTCCATGCCCCCCCTCGCCGCCCATTTGCAGGCGGCCCCCCGCACAGTACAAAATCGCCCTCGCGGAGGGCGGCAAGGGGGCCGCCTGCAAATTTCGTTGACGGCCGTCGCCCGAGAGCGAACGGCCGTCTGCCACGTCATTTTCGCCGCCCTCTGAGAGGGCGATTTTTAAAAATCGCCCTCCCAGAGGGCGGTAGGCGACTACTTCCGTCAATTTTCAAAATGGAAAATTATTTTTGTAAAACTTTTAATAAAAAAAATTATAAATAAAAAAAATTCGCCAGACGTACGGGCCGTAGAAAAATAAAGGGATAAGTCTATTTTGCGTCCCTCAACTCTTGCCCCTGATTAGGTATAATGCCTCCTCCATCTTCGAAAACCAGATCAAATCAAAGTCCCTCGGCTGTTTGGATAGCTTAGCTGAGCGTGCTCTGCTCTGTCGATCGGCTGCCACGAGGGAAACTGTGAGGAGAGCTCTCCTCTCCTACAGGCGTCATCAACGACGGCGACACGGTCAGGTCCTCTCGATCGGGGACGAATTAATATAGAAGACCTCTTTTCCCAGTGAGATCTCTCTACTCCATTCTCTAGATATATACTCCTACTTCAACATGGATATATAGCAGCAAAGACGTACCGTACCGTATGCCGGCTACATCGATCAATGTGAGCAGCAACGACGTACCGTTATGTTATCTAGCTCACAGGATCACAGTGGAATTTGCAAATACTCAACGCGAAAACACAGTGGGAGCAGAGGATCTGGTGCTGCGGGCGTTAACTCGCTGCAGCTTTTCTGAATTTGCGACTGAGAAATATATAAGAACAGACGCGGCCGCGCTTCTCGCCATGAACCTCAACGAGCGCGCCATGATCGGTTTGCAACGTGTGCCATCCAACACGTCCCTCTCGCTACACACGACTCCACGGCGCGCACGAACACGCAACCACGCAGGGAAGTGCCGGCTCAGATCCTAAAAAACCAGCTAATAAGCTAACTGAAAAAACAGAACAGCTGAAGAACGAAAATAGCTAGACACGCTACAGGATACAGAGTAACTGAATTTGCTGAACAAAGCTTCAGGATTATCTAACGATGCCAACACCGTACGTCGGCGGAAAGCAACAAGCGCCGTCGCCAACGTGGAGGAACAGACCGGCTGGCTACATATCGATCGATGCGGCGGCGGCGGCGAGACAGAACGGGAGGAGTCACCGGCCGCAGGGCGCACAGGGAGGAGCTCTCCGGCCGCTACCGCCGCTTGGCGAGAGAATGGGGAAGAGAGATGTGAGAAAGGGGTGAGGAAAAAGAAAGGCCTGACATGCGTATTTTTCTATTTTTTTTTCACTGACACGTGGTTCCATGAGCTTTACGTAGGAGGACAAAACCGTGATTAAAACAGACGAGGGACTTGATTTGCTCCGGTTTTTGAAGATGAAGATGTTATACCTGGTATAGCTGTTAAGGGAGGCGATTCAATCAAGAGCAAGAGTTGAGGGAAGCAAAATAGATTTATTGAAAAATAAATGACGAAGAAATGGGCCGGGAGAATGGCCCAAAGGAGAAATAACTGAATTTTGCAAGGATTCTGATCATAATAAGTGAGAAAATAGTTACCTTTGATTGAGTTTTTTTTCATTTTTTTTAAAAAGGAAAGAAAGACAGGGTGGATGGAGACTGGACAGCAGCCTGTTCAGTCAAGCAGACAAAATATAAGGCAAAAGGCTTCTCGGTTTAGTGTTAACCAGCGACGAACGAATTGTGAGAAGAAGTACTGCTACAAGTTCTGACGTGCATGCTTGTTTTTCCTCTTAGACATGCATGTCTTTTTCTTCCTTCTTATAAAGTTTTCTCTCAAATTATTTATCCGATCTACAATCCGATTGCACCATTGTGTTCGTTACAATTAAATCTTCACAATAAGATCTTACATGCATGATTATATTACGATGAAAAAATATTTATATTTGTAAATTACTTTTATTATATACGTAAGTTACTTTTATCATATATATAAGTTACTTTTAGATTTGACTAAGTTACTTCTTAAACATATAAAAGTAAATTCAATAAAGTCTAAAAGGTATTTACATGTATTATAAAAGTATCTTAAAACAAAACGGAAGTAACTTTGTCATAACATTAGAAGTAAATTCATTAAAGTTACTTTCTTTTTGTTATAAGTTACTTCTATAATATATGTAAATTACTTTTAAGCTTTATTGAATTTACTTTTATATGTCGAAGAAGTAATTTAGTGAAATCTAAAAGTAATTTAGATTTATTATAAAAGTAATTTATAATTTTTCATCAAAATATAATCATGTGAGATCTTGTTATAAAGATTTAATTGTTACGAACACAGTGATGTAATCGGATCGTAGATCGGATGAGTAGTTTAAAAGAAAATTTTATTTGAAGTATAGGTGGATAAAGTCTCTTATAGGTGGAGTGGTAGCTGTGTAGTCACGTCCAAAATATAAATGTTTCTCAATCAATTAACGTGTTTGCACAATCCGAGAGCACAAAATTCCAATGGTCACCAAGCTATATATATTCTCAATCTTTTTGTGTGAATTGTAAGAGAGTTGAAATTGAGCGAAAGAGAAACGACCAATCCAACGCCAAACACCATCACTCATCTTGTGCATTATTTCTCATATCATGAATGCCTATTCCACTATAATTAACTTAACCTCTCCGGTAACAGACACCTACAACACGCCATAGTTAGGTCACACACATGCAATACTGTAAGCTCTTGGGACACCTCGATCAAGCCAGGAGCCAGAAATCTCTCTGGCGCCTCGTGGTGATGAGATACCCTCCCCCTCGCCGGCTCTTCCGCCGGACGGCGAGCGCCATGCACGCCGCGTTCTGCACGCAGTACTCGGCGGTGCCCCTTCCGCCGCCGCCTTTACCGCCGGTCATCCACATCACCAGCAGCCGCCATGTGATCGACCTCTTCTTCTGGCCCATGACGAGGAGCGACACGCCTTGCTTCCTCGCCGCCTCCACAATCGCCGGCCCCCTCTCCTTCCCTTCCACCAAGGAAAGCTCGACGCGTACCTATATATAGATCGAATCAAGACGCGAGTAAGGACATGTTATTTTTTTTTATTAATGCAAGAGTTTTCTCAATTCAATATTTCCACAAAATTCTAGCTTGTGAAATATTATAAAAACTGTAAGTTCCAATTAGGGGCGGAGACAAGTCCAGGTAACTTGGGCAACTTGTTAAGCCCTAGGCTTGCCTCCACAATCATGCTTCATTTCTCCTAAACTACCATGCATTTTTTGTTAAAAAAAATCAATATCTCATTACTTGTGCCATGTGACATATACTCATGTACCCGTTTTGTTTTAAAAATATAACTGTCAATTCAGGGGCGTAGCTACAGGGGGTGCCGAAGGGGGCCAACACCCCCCTATCCGACACCCATCCCTGTTGTACTAACTAGCGCATTAGCATGTTAATTAGTCCATTATTAATAAACATGGTATAGAAAATTAATTAATAAGGAAGAGATGGAGAGACGACGCAAATCAACTCCTCGTCATCATTGCTTCGGCTTCACACGTCTCTCTGTCCTCCCATTGCGTCTCGTTATCGAGCATGATGTTTCAAGTCTCAAATTGTCAAACATCCAATGATACAACTAAAAAGCTAAATTCAAGCTTTTTTATCGTCGGTATTGCTTACCCTGACTTATGACTTGTTCGCCCTGCCTACACCCCCTAGCCATAAATCCTGGCTTTGCCCCTGACTGTCATTTGATATATATATATATATATATATATATATATATACCACTGATCTTCAAACACTGAGCACCGGTCTTTCGTGAAAAAAAAAGGAGCTACAAATACTTTAAAAAAATGTCATATTATTGAAGTGTACTAGTACTGCATCTCAAATATAAGTGTAAAACCTTTTAATTTGTCCATAGTAAGTAGTCAAGATTGAAACAATCAAAACTGCAATTGTTTGAATATGGAGAGGTAATTTTCTGATGTTATAATTCTTTTAGTAAATCTATAACTCATAAAACCCGGTTGCTGCACCTAGCTTAGCTTCAGATCAGAAGTTTCTAGATCATGGAATTCTGGATGCCATTGATTAACTTCTTAATTAATTCTCGTATGCTATGGCAGGTGCAAAAGGCATGAATGTCAAACTAGGATTGAAAAGGTGCAGTATGAGAAACATAATCAAGGGCCATGAATCCATGATCCTGTCTGGGATGCAACTGCATATGCACCCCTTGAGATGATGCTCAGCACATGCATCTCTGTGGAGGCTGTTCACCAATCATTTTCATGATTTGACAGTGAATGGGACCCTCTATATTATTAACACTGTTTGACATAGAATGCATTGTCTCAGGGAAAGCATTCATTCAATTAATTTACCAATGAACTGGTTTATATGTAGTACTAGCTGTCTATATTTCCAGATCACAAAAGGGTAAGATCTGCCACAGGGTATTTACTGATCATCTGGGTTGTCGGCAAAGAGGATTTACTGATTAGTTAGCAGGTTGATCTGAAATACATGATGTCACTTCAAATGCCAGAAGGTAATTAAAGGGACAGGCTTGCAGATATTAATTGATGGATTGCAAGAATCATCTCCAGCTTTCTGATAAATTTCTCTCATTTGTTACTACCAACATATGGGTTTTACAGGGTTAGGGTGCTTTGTGTTTATATATATTTTCGGTTTGGTTTAGAGACTGTAAAAAATGGGAGTATAAGTTCCAATGCAGATTGATCTGTTGCTTGAAAGAAAATATGTACCACCAAACAGAAGGTGCTATTTATCAATAGAAGCATCTGTTTCATAGCTATCACTGAACAATAATAAGTAACTGTGTAGAAGTTCTAGCTTGCAGGATCAATCTTAATCATGATGTTGCAAGTCAGAGTATTCCATAATGCTTTGTGGATTATATCAATGTTGTATTGGAATTTACATATATGGTTCGATCGTAAGTAGATTGAATGGATATTCTGGATATTGCAAATTTTTGTTCATATAAAACCAGAATATAATGAGATCAAAATGGGCAAGCTCTGTGTATTATATATGATATGCTAAAGCCATAGCTCCATCATTTTTTAAGATAATGGGAACCATAGCTCCATCATGATAACCCCTTTATGAGGATAGTCATAATATATGGCCCCCATGCTCCATTAGGATATATGAAATAACAGAACCAACTTTTTCAGTGAAAACCTTATGAAAACTGGCATGCCTTCTAGAGTTCCTTAAAGTGCTCTGTTTGAAGCAGGGAAAATTCACTGTTTACAGGAACCAAAAAAATATTATGACAGCTCAAATTGCATTTGGGAGAAGAAAGAGGGATCTAAACGACGTAATACAAAACAGTAAAAATCACCCTCATTTTATTGTTAATTGATAAAAAAACAATTTCTAATTAAGTTCCTTTTGCAGCTACAAGAGTAGAAAAACCACAATTTTTTAGTAGTTGTATACCTCTGGTCTTTTAGCCTGGCAAATACTCCTCATTGTCTCCAGATGTTGGCACCCTCTGCTTGGATCATCCCCTAATCAATTAATCAATTAATCAATCAGCAAAGTTCATCACCAACCATGCAAGATATATAGAACTATCAATATCATTTAATTACTTTGCATACGTGCACCTTAAGCTTCTCAACACATATTAAAAAACAAGAATATATCTAATTAGAAATGTGCTACTGTCTCCGTTCCATATTATAAGTTAATTAATTTTTTAAGTTTAACCAAATTTATAGAAAAATATTAGTAACATTTCTAAAAAAACATATTATGATAATATATTTAGATATATTTAATACTCCCATTTAATAAAATAGATACTACTAATTTTTTCAATAAATTTTATTAAACATAAAAATGATTAGAAAAAGTTAAACGATTTACAGTATGAAACGAAGGAAGATCATTAATTAAGCCATAGCTACAATGCTCACCGTTCTTGCCGCCGCCGTCGCCGCCGCTCTTGACGACGTCGAGGAGGACGACGGTGTCGCAGGGGCGGACGGAGTGCGAGAGCGCCCACTGCAGCGCCGTCCGCGCCTCGTCGCTGCCGCCGTCGGCCACCACCATCACCTTCCTCCCCACCTCGCTCTTCTCCTCCTCCTCCTTGCCGTCGACGTCGTCGTTGCGGCCACCATCATTGGCAGCGCCGGTGGAGGAGGCGCGTATCGACGGCGGCGCGCCGCGGCGGCTGTCTGACCTGATCTGGTGGAGGCAGAAGGATGGCAGCGACGATCTTGCTGCCATCGTCGTTCGTGTGGGTTTCTTGGAGAAGTGGAGTGAGTGAAGTGTGGTTAATGGCTAAGCTGGCATGTGGCTCCACTGAAGCTAGCAAAGAAAAGGATGTGGACTTTCATCCCTCGAGGGGATATCCCCTCGTTGTTTGCATGTCATCTAAATAGTTATTAAAAAATTTAAAAAAAATTGACAACATAGATTAATACGAAATATATCACTCCACAAACATACAAGACCAAATTCAACTTCTATAAATTGCAGCAAAAATAACAAATTAAACTGAAAATAGTTATCGCATATTCGTAACTATATTTGTTATTTTTGTTACAACTTGGAGAAATTGAATTTAAACTTGCATGTTTGTAGAGTGATATGTTTCATATTAATCTATGTTGCCAATTTTTTTTATATTTTTTTATGATTATTTAGGTGACATGTACGAAACGAGGGGATTTCCTCGAGGGATGATTTCACTTTCCCCAAAGAAAAGGGAAGGAGATCAGTGTCCCATGCTGACCAGTGACCATCTTCGCGGCCAGGCACGCGCCCCTTTTCTTTTTCTTTTTTTTTTAAGGTAGAAAGTAAAAATAATGTCTCTACTTTTTTTGAAAAAAAATATTATTAGGGACTTTTGTGTACTTGATCTTTTATCACTAATGTATTCATGTTGATATTTCTGGTTTGTTTAGGAACTTTTTGATGTTCTTATTCTATGTTCAGAATTTCTGTCTTTTTTTTTGTTTAGTATTTTTTTCAACACCTTTCTTGTGCAGGGCACCATACGGTCCATACGGAAGTTTGGAACGGTACAATAACTTACTTACGGAAGCTTTCTTTTCACTTCATCGGACAATTAAAAGGGATTATTTGTTTCATGCTTTGAAGAATATATTTTTTGCAAAAAAGAATTACTTTTATTGTATTGTTTGTATCAATTTTTAATCTTTTATTGTTAAGTTTACTTCTGAAATATTTAATTTATCCCTATAACTAAGTAGATGATCCATGATTATAATCTGCCAAATAATATAAATCAAACAAAGGCATTAGAGCATCCTCAATGTTTAAAATCAATGTAGTCATAAGACGGGACGTCCTTGTGTTTGTCCATACTACATAATACAATGTAATACCTTCGTCCCATAAAAAACCAACCTAGTACCCGGGATGACAGATGAAATGTCATCATGTACTGTTTTTTTTATGAGACGGAGGAAGTATATGGTCTCTTTTTGATCTTAAGGTGGGACTCACTAAGGAAAAAAACACATATTTACTCAAGATTAAAAGTGTACATGCATGTTGCAAAGCTATGATATATTTTTTAAAATTCTTATGGTCTACCCTTAAGCTTAAGGTTACCCATAACACTATTCTCTTCATAAATCATCTCCCTATGTATAAAGGTAAAAAAATACTACTTTATTTCTTAAGGTGGGTTTTCATGCATATTGTGGTTGCCCTTAGCCCTTTTTGCATAACTAGAAAATAGACGTGACAGTTGGTACATCTACTGCTTTAAACATGTACGCTCTTTAAAAGATATTTATTTTATAAGATATATTTTTTAAAAAGTAACATAATTTTTGTAACATTTCTAAAAGAGATACATTCAAGCGGGCTTGTTTGCCCTAATCGAGTGAAACTTTCAAGTTGTCTCGTCGGACGCTTGGTGCCTCAATCAGTCTGCCGTGTCGCCTCTTTCTCCCTCTCTCAGACTTTTTCTTCTGCATCTCGCCGATGGCACCTTTTTCCTTCTCTGTCCTCACCAGCGACGGCTACGATGATGCCCTCTCCTTCCCCTCCCATCTCGCCAGGAGGCTTATGGTACTTGGTACCTTAGGTTGCCCGATCTGATGTTGGCCGTGTTGGCAGATGTCAGATCCATGTGGAAAGAGGGATGTAGAGACAGAGGACACATCTGATCTGGTGGCAGTTGTGCTCCTACCAACTCGATCAGATGGCTACTCTTGGGGCATTGATTCCGGGGGTGCCAAGATGCAAGATCGATGGATTCGAAGACGGCTATCTGAACTCCAGCGTCAGCCATGTAAATGTGGTGGCATGGAAGTTCCGGCATAGCTGAAAACGGGGCACGTCTGACCAGCGAGAGGGTGGCGGTACGTGGTGTGAGCCCGACAAGCATGTCGTTCACTGCAATGGCAAAGTCCAATTGATCAACAAGTCTTCGGTAGCACTGCATTGTTCATGGAAGAGCCATTTAGTGCGAGCACCATCACTTGTTCGATCCAGTATTGCAGTCACTACCACCACCATTGCTCATGTTCGATCTTATTGCTTGGCTCAATTCTTCTTTCGATTGTTAGCTCCTTCTTTGATTTAATCAGGTGAATGCGACCCATATAAATGTTGTTTTTGAAACTTTTTTCCTCGATTAGTTTGACTACAATATTGTCTTATTTACTCCTAAATCATTTGAAATGAGACCAGACTCGAAGATACTAGAGTTAATTGTGTGGGAAGAGTTCTCTAGATTTTTAGTATTTTGTTTTTCTAAATACTTGTCCAGCCACACTCTTAGCCTCTTGGGGGAGAGAAAGAGGGACACGTGTCAACGTATAATTGTGCATCATCTCAATCAATCAGCGAGCATCAACCTTGCCAGCTTGAGATATAAGGAATTAGGGAAGAAATGTGGCAACTCAATTGACTACATAGAAAAATATTATGATATATCCAAATATCCCTAGTAAATACACAAAAAAAATGTGAAACTGAGAGAGAGCATATGGCTTTGATGTATATGATTCAGATCCATTTTTCTCAAGGTGGTTAGAAAGTGGACATAAAGCCCCAAACAAGAGTGTTTGCTTTTGTTGACTAATGTTGTTGGATATAAGTCAGTCATAGCTCTCAATTAGGAATTTTTTTTATTTATAATTTTTTTTATTAAAAGTTTTACAAAAATAATTTTCCATTTTGAAAATTGACGGAAATAGTCGCCTACCGCCCTCTGGGAGGGCGATTTTTAAAAATCGCCCTCCCAGAGGGCGGCGAAAATGACGTGGCAGACGGCCGTTCGCTCTCGGGCGACGGCCGTCAACGAAATTTGCAGGCGGCCCCCTTGCCGCCCTCCGCGAGGGCGATTTTCTACTGTGCGGGGGGCCGCCTGCAAATGGGCGGCGAGGGGGGGCATGGAATTTTGCAGGCGGCCCCCTTGCCGCCCTCCGCTAGGGCGATTTTGCACTGTGCGGGGGGCCGCCTGCAAATGGGTGGCGAGGGGGCATGGAATTTTGCAGGCGGCCCCCTTGCCGCCCTCCGCTAGGGCGATTTTGTACTGTGCTCTATATTTTTTTTATATAAATATCAATAGTTATCAAATCTTTTTATATTGAAAACTATACAAGATTAAAATCTCCAAGACTGGTAAAATACAATTTTATTATTTTTAGGGCATATTTGGAATGTTACCGTACAAATATTTTGTTAATGCCAAAATATAAGCAAGTTTTGGCACTACCAAATATTTGGTAAGGTAAAATTGCATTTGATCATATTTGGTTTGCTGCCAAAATGTAAAATTGTAGTGAAGAATGTTGTACATAATCTCAATTCTAGATTACGTATTAGCAATTAATAGGCTTCCATTTTCGTGTGTGGTGTGGTAGTGGGAAAGAAGATATGAAGAGGTTGCCTTCAGATTGTCAATTATATAGCGTCGTTTTCACTGCAATATATGTGAACTCAATGAGATACATTATTCATTAGATGTGACAAGACGATCACGCGTGGGCGTGATTCACTTTATGTCAACAGGCAGCGCCGAAAGTTGATAGTGATAACTCGAGCTGCCGCTTTTCATGTGTGCTGTTGTGGACTGTGCGCGCTACTGGATATGGCACTACCGTGAAGCGCCGAAAGTGTGTTGTTGTGAGCATAAGTTGTTCAAGCACCTTATGAATGAAAAGAACTACGTAGACGAGACAAACACAAGTAGTACTGCAGTAGTAATAGCAAAAGTAGTACTGCTTTACAAGTTTGTAAGCCAAAAGAAACGGTCACATAAGGACTGAAGAGGTAGAACACTACTGACGAGGCCTCTTACCCCTGTCCCTCCTACCCTGCGCCCTAATGTGCCCCTGGGAGTACGTGAGTCGGTCCGGGGGTACGGCACGGCCAACCCGTCCTGCCTGTACAGGTGTGACCTCTGGCTGCTCCTGAGTGTGCGCCTCTGGAGCTCCTCCAAGCTGAGAGGAGCCTAGTACGTCCTGGTGGTCTGCACCGTGCAAGTCGTCGTCGTAGAACTGGCTAGTAGGACCAGTCCTACCGGCGTGAGACGAAGAGGCCCCAGTACCGAAGATCCCGGCTGCAAATCCTGCTGGACAAGGACCATCAGTTTCGTACAGGTATTTAACAGTATTAATAAAAAGTAAAGTACCGTGTGGGCGAGGGATCGACGCTCCGTGGGAGGAAGAGCTGGCGAACGCGCCCGAAGAGGTGGCGAACGCCCCTGCGGAGCTCGCGGAAGCGCCGGTCGTGCCTGCGAACGCGCTCGAATGCAGACGAGGTCCTGCGATGAGGAAACGTGCAGTTAAAACATAGTGACACATTCGTGCAAAAGCTGAAACAAAAATGAACTAATATCTGGGCTGAACTGTACCGTGCGAAACCGGTGCTGTAGGTCGCACTGCTCCGAAGCTAGGGGCGCTCGAAGACAAACGAGGTCCTGCTCCGACGGTAGGCGCGCGAGGCCGTGGGTGTACCGGACCAGCTGGAGGTACGACGTCCACGGCGCTGCGACAGGAGAAGACGCGCATGACCGCACGCATCTTCTCCTGCATCCGGTCGAAGGTCGCCCTCTGCTCAACGTCAGTCAAGTGCAAACCTCTGTTCAACCTCACCTGGACTGCGGTGATATCGGCACTGATATCCCGCGCCGCATCAGCCTATGCAAGATGGAAATAAAAAATTCAGTAGTTGTCCTATATTATGCAAGATAAATGACATAATTGTTGGAAGTAATACAAATTGGACGTACCGCCACGAAGTAGTCTCGGTCACTGCAATGTGCACTCTCTCTAGGAACCAGTACCAGCTTTCAGTGTTCTCACTCTC